AGATCCCAGGAAAATTTCAGCGTTATGATTTTATACTTTCTAAGTATGTTTTCAACAGCCTGTGGAACAACATACAAAGGAAATAAAACTAATGCTCTTCTCACTTAATACACTGTGTTAATAGTTGCTACTTACTTCAGTATCCTTATGCTTTAAAAATAAAATGGATTTCATTTATGCACTAGAGTACCTAGCAGAAAGTGCAATAAAATTATTTTACCCTTATAAGAACATGCTGTAAAGGCCCATTAAGACATAATTACTTCCAAAAAGGCATTTTACATTTCCTTGAGATAAGCTGCACTAGTGTACTTTGAGATTTCACTTCCATTGATTCAGGATTAGAACAACATGTTTAGATAATAAGCAGAGGGGTCCGAGATAACAGCCTGAGTGAATCATCAGACTACAGTGTTTAGTCTGAGTAAATGTGTTTATCTGAAGGGCTCTTGGGACTAATACAGTTCCTCTTCAAAGCTTGAAGCAGGGGGCAAGAATCATAGTCCTGCAGGTTGGCAGGATAAACATGTCCTGTGATTTGCTAGCAATTTGGGAGATGGATTTTGGTACAGAGAATACTGTTGTTGTCAGGTTGAAAACTGTCTGCCTGGAAATGAATTCATGCGCACACAACTCCGGACAAAGGAAAATCTCCTTGAAATGGCATTTTATCACATTTTAGGGCCCATTTTTCAAGTCTCTGACTTACACCTGGGAAATATACTGGTGCACTAAGTTGATCATAAAAAGCTCACATTTTAGCAAACAAAAATTGATGCAATAATCTCAGAATGTATTGTCTCACTGACAGGTACAGAAACCCATTTTTCCACATAATTGCCTGCTTTGTATCTGAAAACAATTTTTGCCTCTTTTACATATCAAATCAGATTGTTTTTTCAGTGAAGGAAACTCTGCTGCTCTTTTACTGTTTGGTGTGAGGTCTACACAGAGAGATTGGGTAATGTGTCATACAGGGGAAAGCTGTGGTAACAATAAAAGCTCCTGTGTCAGTCAACAGCCTATAAATACAGCAGGAGAGATAACTGCTGCGGTGCTCCATGAGGAGCATACTTCTGGGCTCCAGAAGTAGCAACATATTTTTAAGCTAGAAGGGAAGGTGAGAAAGCATAAATGACTGAACAGAAGGTTTCTATAACTCTGTGTGGAGGCTTTTTGTGCACGGTTGGAGCAGCTGGGGGTTGTCACTCTCTGAGAATAATTGTGAGGGGAACTGAATGCAGAATATTGTGCTTGAAGGCTGAATGTCCTTTAGTTTTCACCTGCAATTTTGCTGGAAACCAAAGAGTTTGAGTCAATTTAGATTAAATGTAAAAGCAGATTATTTTTACAGTGCATTGGTTAAGAAAAGGGAAATCCCACAATTACGTCCACCAACAACACTTCCAAACTCAGTGGACATGGGTGAATTTCATTGGGAAAGTGACTCAAAAATGTCCCATATGGGTGAACAAGGAACTTCAAGCTATCTTTGTGGATATTAATTTGTATTTGCAGATTTCCATGCAGTTTGCCCTACATATTCCACATGCCATATTGTAGCTAGCCTTGGGAGTTAAAAGCCAAAAAAAAAACTTCCTCATTTTTATAAATACTATCTTAATCTCACATTTAATGTGTTTGTCTTTATTTGCTTATCTTTTTTTTTTTTTTTAATTGAAGTGTAGGTGCAAAAAGAAAAGTTTTGTGTTGAGAATACTTCTAGTTAAAGAGCCAAAGGCATCATTGATAACTGACCAAAGGAATTGCTGGCAGCTTCTTCCAGATTCAGTTGTGCTACTGAAAAAGAATACCAACATCAATTTTTTTGTCCATTTCCTTGGAACATACCACATTTACAAGATTTTTTGGTAGGGATAGTCAGGTTAGGTCTGTTTATGACAATCCAGCTACCAGGAGCTACATCAATATCTTCTCCTGAAATCCTCTGAAGCAAACAGATTCTGTATGAAGCTAAATGGGGTGAGCAAACACAGGCTGTCCAGCTGGCTGGTGTAGAAGGTGGTGAAAAGAAGGTGTAGTGAGCTCAGGGATGCATAACTGCTTGTACCAGCCCTTATATCTTTTAAGAAAATGCCTCTTGTTCTGCCTTCAGGGGAAAAACAGTATTGGAATAGCACAAAAGGTGTATAAAATATTAATCTAGAGTCCATGTAACATCAATTTACTTCCTGAGATGAGAAATTGTTCTATGTTATAGTGTCTAAGGATATGCACACGAGAAAAATAAGTAACTATATGAGCAAGTTTATTAATGTTCCTGGTTTTCACATAGTTTTAATGTTGGGTTGTATTTTTTAACTTCAGAAAGTTGAGAACATAAATGTATTTTTGAAGCAGCATTTATGTTTTAAAGGCTTCAAACAGGATCTGTCAGTTAAAGTATTTAAAATTTTTATGTGGTGCCAGGTATAAAATCACATGTGGGGTTTTTAAGTCTAGATTTGACAATTTAAAACTGTGTTAATTATTAGTAGTTAATTTGATCAGTGTTGAAATTCCTAATTAGTCCATAGGTACAGAAGGGAAAGGAGAAACATATTTGTTGAAACATCCTCCAGCACCACAACAAAATACATTAAATTTAGTCCATTTTGCTATTGATTTCTTGTATTTCCCAAATAAGGATGAATCACAGTTTTGGCTCCTTGATCTTCTGAAGAGATTAAAGTCATTATTCAAAGTTGATGATGAAGTATTTATGACTGTGAGGACACCCAGACAAATGAGTTTTCCACTGCCTGATTTAGAGGCTGTAACACCATCTCCAATTTGACATAAAACCAAGGGGAATTAAAACAACTAGGTATCATCAAGGCACACGTCAGCAGCAGCACAAATGGGTGCTTTGGATTTTTACCCTGTGTCACCAAAGTCATAGCAGAATTTGTGATTTTCAGTGAGAGCACCATTAAGTGCTCTGTGAAGAAAGAGCCTATTTCAGCTGCTGACTTCAATGGGAGTTGGATTAGGTCTTGATTTATTCTGGAGTTGTGGAGTACAGATAGAGAGGCAACAAATCTAAAGACATCTACAAAGGCAGGCAGCTAAATCCAGAACACTTAGAATGGACAGCTCCTGAAAAATTGTGGGGACGGAAAGTGGAAAGAACTTCCTAGTTATGCTGGGAACGTGTTTCAGTGATGAAAATCTACATAGGAACAACAGGGGAATTTATATCAAATCAACTTGGTTGATTCATTTCAACATTTTAACAGAAATAAAATAGCTATGCTCAGGCTGTAAAATGGCCTGGGATGATAAATCCGCTGAGTGTGGTGGTTCCGCACACACCTCTGCTTGTTACAAAGAGAAATGGATAAGAGGACAGGAGAGGTTTAGATTAGACATGAGGAAAAATTTCTTTTCTGAAAGGATTATCTAGCTCTGGCACAGGATGTCTGGGAAGTGGTGGAGTCACCGTCCCCTGAGGGATTTAAAAAGCACGTGTCTGTGGCACTTGGAGATGTGGTTTAGTGGTGGGTTTAGAAGTGCTGGGTTAATGGTTGGACTCAATGATCTTAAAGATATTTTCCAACTTTTAAAATTCTATGATTCTATGAAATATCTGCACCACATTTCATTACTTGGTCACTACACACCATGGACCTTTAATATTGTGGATTTTTTGCTTCCCAATAGAGATAAAACTTAGATATAAGATCCAACTTTTTTGTATTATTGTGCTCACCACCTTTCACTGACTGAATTATTCTGATTTCTTTTCTTACCTTGCAACTGTTTGTTCTGACACTATTCATAACCTTGGCAATCATGTGCTCCTTTCATAAATTAAAAATGAGGTTTGGTTCCAGCCTTTTCGTATGATAAAAATTTTTAAAAATCATGAAAAAATTGTACATATGAAAATGACTGACAATAGCTGAACTTTCTTTACATTTCTAGCAGAAGACTTCATTCCTCACCATTTGCAGTGTCTAGCTTGGTTGCATTCAGACCTCTGGGAAGCTGAGAACAAGGTTACAAGGTTTTTCCTTCCCAAATATTTCCTTGTTTATTTAAGTATGTTGAAATGCCTTTTTGGTTGTCTTGTTCCTGCATGAGGTGCAAACACACTGTGGAAAAACTCAAGAAACTACAAAAACCTTCAAACAGACCCTAAGACACACCTAAGGAAAAGATCAGCAAGTGGTAGGACTTTGAACAGTAGAAATATCTTGAGGTGGAAAGGAAATGAACTGAGTCAGGTAGAGAAAATTATTATATTTAACTCTTTCTTCTTTGTTACTGTATATGAAGCTTAATTCCCTAGCTGATGTTCGCACGGCAGACAGAATTGGCATAGAATTCTATGACACTGTCATAGAATTGGCAGAATCGGGATTGTTTGGATTGGAAGGAAAGTTAAATTTCATCTCATTCCAACCCCCATGCCATGGACAGGGACACCTTCTACTATCCCAGGTTGCTCCAAACCCCATCCAACCTGGCCTTGGACACTTCCAGGCATTGGATAGTCACAATTTCTCTGGGAAACCTGCATAAGTAACACTGTGTGTTACTTTTGGTGTTAAGGTCTTTTCCTTATGGGTGAGCATTTGATATATAGATATAATGTGGGGAGAAGATGAAATGTAACAAAATACTTAGTCACAAAATTCCTGTAATACATATAGAGAAGGAAGAATGAGAAAAACATAAAACAATCAAGACAGTATTTATTAATTTCATTAATGTCATAGATGTTCTTGCATAAAAGAGAAAAAGAAACAATTATTTTTTTCTCTATTGTTCATTTCAGCCTGTCTGTCTCCTTTGATAAGATATGGAAGTTTTGCCGTTCTATACTGCAGCATTCTTTTAAACTTTCCCTTTGTTAATTCCTCTATGTTATTCTGCTACTGCTTCCTTTATGCTTGAATAGGGAACCTTGTTTTAAGCACTTTGATCCATACCTCTGAGGTTAAAATTGTTGAGTTTATCTCTGATTGAATGATTCACATTGGAAAATTACTCACCTGTCCAGCAGTGTCTAGAATGTCCAAATAAGCTGGTTCATCATCAATTCGGACTTGAGTTTTATAGGCATCCTCTGAAAAACACAATGCAGTCTGCTTAAGCATGTAAGTGGCTCAGAGAATGGAAAATGAAACAGCTTTGCTAGTTTTGAGTAGGCTTTTCAAAAGCTCTCCAATCTGACCTAACACTGCTTTATTTCAAAAGTTCCTTCTTGAAATCCATTTGCCACTACAAACTATTAGTAAAAGAAAGTCTCTTCCATCACACTACCTCAAAATACAAAAATTATATTTTCCTTTCTTTAAAAGGGAAACATTTCCCTTTGTTTAAATACAGATCCCAAGTGTTACGTAGGTCATAAAGCTTCAGAAGTGTTGTTCTGGTGCTGTTCAACAGAATGCTTTTTTACTTACCACAATGACACATTCAAAGAGATTTTCTGGCAAATATTTTCATTTTAAAGATTGTCTAAATTATTGGGAAAGGCTCCCTGTGGCTGAACGGGGTCCTGGCTCAGGTATGTCAGAACATTTAAATTTCTGTATATCTTCAGAAAGGCCAAGAATAATTTTTATAAAAATAAATTCTGTTATCTGCATCCTTAAACTCATCACAGATCCTGGCAGAGGAGGAGAAACTCTCCTTTGTGGACCCTTCCCTTAGTTCATGATTTTGTCAACTAAATTTAGAAGAATAAAAAAAAGAAAAAGTTAACTACTATTTCCATAAGCTGTTTTCCTAACATTTCTATTTCATTCCCCTCTCAGCATTTGTATTTTCTTCATAAGACTAAAAGGAGTGTAGATAATGTCCCATGTTTATACTTGAAATAGTCTGGAAATTATCTGTGCTCTTTAATTGAACAATCATGCAGAGCAGCCTGAGTGGTTTTTGTGACTGCACTGGAAGTGCACTGAGGGATGAAGACAAGACAAGTGCATTTGTTGAACCTGAGAAATGTCATTAACCACAGTGAGCCAGCTGGACCTGTCGTGAGCCCTAGCAGAGACCATCAGCAACAGGTTCTCAAGCATTGAAATAATATTGAGATCATAATATGGGATTGTATGCCATATTAGTTGGAATTCTTGTGACATTCCAGTTTGTGCCATAATATACATGTTGCACTTTACAACACTTTATAAAAGTGTGGGAAAATCTGCTTTCTACCAGCAGAAGAGAAAAACTAAAACATTTGGATACAAGCCTGCATAGACAACTCAGAGCCCTCGTGTCCAGCCAGAGGATTGCTGTCTTTTATGACATAATCACACACAGTATTTTCCCCTTCAATTCAAGGCCTCACTTCAGCAAATAGACACATGACTTTAAACAAATACTTAATCTCATTGATATCAAGATGGTCCAGAGGCTTAATTAATTGTATGATTTATTACCTTGCTGAGAAAACCAGAGCACTCCAACCACCATATGTTTTGGCTAGATCATTTTGTAAGGATTGCTGAATAAGAAACTGTGTGACAAAGACCATATAACAGGAATTGGACTACTTGCAGCTTAAGTAATTTATTATTTAATGACAATGAAATCTACCTGCAGTAGATTTTTTTTTCCTTCTTCTCCGTTAACCAAAAATTAAAAACAAAATAGCAAACTATGTAAAATTCCTTCACATTAATTCTATTAATACTATCAAGTATTATTAATGTACTTCCATGCAGGTGGATGTCCATTTGCAATACATTACTGCATACATAATTAACCTATGACCTCCATAAATTTTGCTTGCATTCTTGGCTCTGCAGCTGAATTCTCTAAAGCCAGTGATCCTACTTCCCTTTTCACTTAGACCAATATAAATATTTATACAGAATTTTTAAAACATTGAATCTTGAAAAAAAAAATTCTACTTAAATTTTACTTGGATAAAAATGATAATGATACTAAACAAATCCTGTCTTTTTTTTTCTCTATTTTTTTCAAATAAATGATTTACAAGATCAGAGTTATTTATAACTAAAAGATCCACTGGCCTCTGAATATAAGCCATAGCTTTCAGATATCTACCCTGCTGAGCTACTCCAGGTGTACCCTGATATAATGGCACTGTCATCAGTAAAGTTTCAGCTGTTAAAAGCTGGAGCCAGACTATCCTTATAATATTTTTACTTTGCAGAAATAATACTGAATGTATAAAGACATTTTGTCATTTTCATTTGTTTTGCTTTTCCTAACTAATGACCTTAAAACTTTTCACAAAGGAATGTTAAAATCACTGTCTCAGTTTCATTCTTGATGTATGCTGATGTCTTCTGGTGGTAGTAAAAAAACGTGTTTTGATATGCTTTGATAAAGTACATGAATCTAAATAGTTTTCTACGCAAATGTTTTTCACATGTAAGATTTTATTTTGCCCCAAGAAATGTAGAGGTGAAACAGGAAGGAGATATGAGTTTCCTTTGTAATATTCGCTCTGCTAGGTGTAAAAAGCAGGATAGTACAGATAATAAAAAGAAGCCTAAAAATGCCCTCAGTTGGGGTGTGATAAGCAGGGGTATTTTCAGCCTGCATATAGATGGAAAATACGTAGGAGTTTTAACCCCTAATTTTCTTCAGGAGCACATTTAAGAGGAAGTGCACGCTTGCCAAAGAAATCACTGCCTTGATCCAACATACCCTCATACCAGAGAGCAAATCATAGCACCCACTTATGAGCTTCACCTCCTTAATCACCTTATTAATGCTCAAACAAAGTCACTTTTACAAGAGGCACTGCCTTTCCACTTTCCTGTGGAGTCACTAATCTCCTGGGCATTTCATTCCTTTCAAGGCAGCAGGCAGAAGCAAGATGCATAAATTGAAACCCATGTTTCCCATATCATGTCATAAAGACAAGAGGAAGAGCTGTGTTGCTTAGTTCTGCTCTACAATTAATAATTTTAAACAGAGGTTTCATCTCAGAAAGAAATGTAAATAGAGGTGTAATTCTATTTTCTGTCTATTACATGGGCTAACATCTTTATTTAGTTTAAAATTATGATGCAGAGGCATTAACCTGGAAAGAAACAACTTCCTAGAGGCCAAGAGTTGGATAAATCTGTATGTTGGACCCATATTTTTTTGGTTCATGGTAGCTATGAGGTTAAGCAGAAATCCTGGTATTTTCACATATTTCCCAGAGGATTTCAGAAGGGACTAATGTGTGGCTGGTCTTTTTAGTCCAAGCAACATGGTACAGTTTATGGTCATGATAAGGGGAATTCTAAGACCTTGCTGTAAAGAGCAGGAACAGAGAAGAAGGAAGAAGTGGACACAGAAGAACAGAACTGAAGATGTTCCTCTGAAACTGCATCTAAATGTATACAAAACAAACTGGGAAAATATTAATCATGAACACTAATAAACTCACATTCCAGTATTCTCCCTTTAAAATTTATCTGCATTACAAATTATGTCTGCTGTTTTTACACTACTTGCAATGTAAAAGTGTACTAAACTTTCTCTCACCTAATTAATTTATAATATTAATATAATGCTCACCTACAAAACTAATTTTGGGGCTGTTAAACCACGTGCATTTATGCTTTACATCCTACAGCTCTAAGGAGTGGTTTTTAATAAAAGGCCAAAATCCAGCTGCTATTTCAGTAAAGCATTAAAAGAACATACAAAGGCATGAATGATAATCAGACATCAGGCAATAAATCAGACTTTAACTACATTGTTCTGATTAAGATCAGGATTAGTCTTTTTTCTGTGAGGTTAATCATAAAGTCTCAGCTTTTGGTTTGAGTAAAATTCTGCAGGAGGGTAGGTTATTGCATGAAAAAATCTGTGGATGGAATTTAGTGATACTTGCTAATTGTGTTTCAAATACTGACAGCAAGAATGAATATGTTTTACCAAAAAGAAAACAAAAAAAACCTCCCACATCCTTATAATCTGAACAATGTGTAGATATATTAACTATACTGTGAGAGTTATTTTTTTTTCCTACATACAATGTTAAATTTTTAGAATGTTATTTCCTACAAGGATTAAAACTAAACATGAAAATAGATATAAAATAATTCTCAGAGGATGATATCATATGGTTTCAATGAATATTGACTGCTTAATGTATTGAAGGGTGGGAAAAAATATTAGAGATCCAACTGTGCTGAATGGTACCTATTTCTTGTTAATTTTAAATTGTTTCCCCCTTTACTGAATATCTGTTTTCAGGGGGTTTTTATTCTCTTTTTTTTTTTTTTTTTTTTTTTTTTTTTTTTTTTTTTTTTTTTTTTTTTTTTTTTTTTTTCATTTTTTTTTTTTTTTGTCAGTCTCAGAAAATTAAAGAAAAAATTGTTTCTGTTATCTGGCTTTGTGGGTTTTTTTGGTGTGTGTGTTTGAAATTAATTCATGTAATTTTTTCAGATTTCTTTTTTATAGCACATAATTCTGGAGACAGAAATAAAGTAATTGATGCAAGGTTGTGTTATGACCAGTTATCTTAGAGAAGCTGAATTCATGAAAAATATATCAATGCACTATTTTAGTTATGAGCAGGTAACTGCTTCATGACAAATAGATTTGAATGATGTACAGTTTAATAAGGAGTTGTATTGCACTTTTTGTCTGCATTACCGACATGTTCCTATCCCTGAAATTTAGATCAGATGCTTCTTTCTTCCATTTATTAATTCTGTTTCTATGCTTTCTAAATAAAGTTTTTCTTCTTCTCTGTTTGTACAATACTACTTACAGTCAAAAATGATCAGATTCACATATATAGGTGAGCCAAAGGATATTTTTTTTGACTGAGGAGGTGTCAAACCAGCAGAAAGAATCCAAGCTCAGTCAGCCGCACCTGGAATTCTGCCTCTTGTTCTCCCTTTGTGCCAAAGCAATGGCAGGAGACACAGGTCTTGATATGCTTAGATTATCTGCTACAAATGCATTTTAATTTAGGAATAATCCTGAATGTAGGATAGTCATGAGTCTTTGCCTGTATGGGTGCTGTTTCTATTTACAGCAAGGAATTTTTAAATGAAAAGACTGGATGAACAGAGGCATAAACCACTGTACCAAATACTACACATAAATTCCTCCTCTTTGAGATAAGAATATGCA